GAGAGGCCACAGCAGTGAGAGGCCCGCGTAACGCAAAAAAACAAATAATAATACTGCTCATTGACAATGTACCTGGTCACCCAAGAGCTCTGATGGAGGTGGACAATGAGATTAATATTGTTTTCATGCTGCTAAGACACATCCGTTCTGCAGCCCATGGATTGAGGAGTAATTTTGACTTCTAAGTCTTATTCTTTAAGAAATGCCTTTCATGAGGCCATAGCTGCCAGAGACAGTGATTCCTCTGATGAATGTGGGAGAAGTAAGTGGAAAACACCTTGGAAAGGATTTGTCATTCTAGATGCCGTGAAGAACATCCACGGTTCATGGAAAGAGGTCCAAGTATCACATTCACAGGAGTTTGTAAGGAGTTGATTCCAACTCTCAACGGATGACTTTGAGGGGTTCAGGACTCCAGTGGAAGAAGTAGCAGGTGTGGTGGACACAGTGAGAAAAACTAGAATTAGAAGTGGGGCTCCAGGTGTGACTGAATTGCTGCCATCTCATGATACAACTTGAGCAGATAAGGAGTTGCTTCTCATGGATGAGCAAAGAAAGCGGTTTCTTGAGATGGATCTACTCCTGGTGAAGATGATGTGAAGATTGTTGAAATGATAACAAAGGATTTAGAATATTCCATAAACTGAGTTGATAAGGCAGCAACAGGATTTGACAGAATTGACTCCAATTTTGAAAGAAGTTCTACTGCAGGTAAATTGCCGTCAAACAGCGTTGCATGCTGCAGAGAAATTGCTCATGAAACGAAGAGTCCATGCAGCGAACTTCACTGTTGTCTTATTTTAGGAAATCGCCGCAGCCGCCCCAGCCTTCAACACCCACCACCCTGATCAGTCAGTGGCCACCGGCACAGAGGCAGGACCCTCCACCCGCAAAAAGAATATGACTCAGAAGAAGTGAGCAGTTTTTAACAAGAAAATATTAATTAAAGTATGTGTGCATTATTTTTCAAACATAATGCTATTGCACACTTAATAGACTTCAGTATAGTGTAAACATAACTTTTATTTGCCCTGGGGAACCAAGAAATTCCTGCAGCTCCCTTTATTGCACTATTCCTTTTGTTGTGGTGGTCTGGAACTGAACCCACAATATCTCCAAGGTGTGCCTTATTACCCGTCAGGTGTTTACCCTTCTCTGCCTTGGCCATCATCCTCTCTCTGCATTTCTGTCTCCTCAGCCCTTTTCTTTGCATTCTAGGAGAGTAAACGTGTGGCTTCCAAATCAGCAGTTCTCAAACATTTTGGTCTGAGGGACCCTTTATGTTCTTAAATTACTGAGAACCCCAAGGAGCTTTTGTTTAGCTGGCTTATAGATGTCAATATTTATCCCATCAAAAATTAAAACTGGGCGTTTTAAAAGTAGTCATTCATTTATTTAAAACAACAATAAACCCCTTACAACGTAATAAAATTTTTATGAAAAATAACTTTTTTTTCCAAAATAAAAACATGAGTGAGGGAAATGGCATTGTTCTGTATTTTTTGAAAATCCCTTTAATGTCTGGCATAATCGGAGATAGCTGAATTCTGATATTTCTTCCACATTCGACATGTTGTAATATGTTGTTTTGTCTGAGGTGTTGGAAGAAAATCTAGCCTCACACAGATATGTAGTTGGAAAGAGCAGGAGTGTTTTAGTAGCTTTCTCACATAATTATGGACATTGTTTTGATAATACATGAAAACCCTATGGCTGGTAGTTTCTTAAAGGAAGTTACAATGTGGAATCTGAAGCCATGCCAATGCACTTTACCTTTCCTGTCACATTGAAATCCATTGGTCCATCTTGTACTTGAAGTTAATCTTCTGTCCACGCATGATTTTGTGACACCTATGCAGACTTTCCAAATGTCGACACGTTTCATTATACAGAACCCCAAAAATCACATCACTGCTGATCTTATCAGAAACCTCTCAGTGATGAAAACTGTCAGGCTCAAGTCAGCAGAGACATAAAAGTTTTCCAAAAGTCTTTGAGCTTGAAAGCTTGAGTTTTGTCAGTGGCAACAAATACTGTCACTTGACACACTTTCAATCAAAGACGCACTTCATCAAGACACGCTTTCCTTTCTTTTCTTTTCTGGCAGAGAGCAGATTGACCGCTGGTACACTCTGTACCTCTGGCTTGATCTGTGCTGAGGCCCCAGAACTCTCACCCACCATAGCTTTTGCACCACCGGTGCGGGGGTCAAAGAGCAAAAAACACAAATACTACCTTAGTGTTATTATGAGAAGAGTTTTGACCTTGTGGGCCCTGTCAAAGGGTCTCAGGTACCCCTGTAGGTCCCCGGACCACACCTTTAGAACCACTGTTCTGAATCCCTGGACTTGATGTTCTGCCCGTTTCCCTCCCCATTGCCCACCTCAGTTCCTTTCCATCTTCACTTTAGCCCACTCATCTCCACCTCCGTGAACATAGCCTGTGGTCTTTCCAGCTCAGCCTGGCTTCTTCTTACCTCCTGCTCCTCTCTCTTATGCCCACTCAGCACACCAAGCAGACTAGTTTCAAGTCTTCCTCTTTACTACTACTGTGTAGTAAATCACATTCAGGGCATCTTTTATTCCTGAAGGTGACCTTAACTTGTAGCTGCATGTTGGCCTCATCCCTGCCTGTAGTGCAGGGACATCTGGTCGACCCTGTGATTGCGATAAGCAGGATGGCTCTGGCCCCTCACGATCCTCCAGGTCCGTTGATGTGCCCTCTGGTTGGCAGGCATCTGGTGTTAACTCTGCTGGACCAATGCAGGGTCCCCTCTTCCCTCCCTCCTGTTTTCCAGCCGTCAAGAAGAGAAGTTATGTTTTAAAGAATCTGAAGCAGAGTCACAGATGTAGAAAACAAACTTATGGTTACTGGGGGGAGGTAGGGGGGACAACTTGGGAGATTGTGATTGACATATACACTACATATAAAATAGATACTAATGTAAGGACCTACTGTATAGCACAGGGAACTCTACTCAATACTCTATAAGGACCTATATGGTAAAAGAATCTAAGAAAGAGTGGATATATGTATATGTATAATAGATTCACTGTGCTGTACAGCAGAAACTAACACAACATTGTACATCAACAGTACTAAGTAATCCTAGCTGCGAGGTGACTTGACGGGAGTGAATCAGCCCTGCTGGGATTCTGTGCCTGCAGCATTTCTCACATCCTGCCAGAGAGGGCTGTGAAGCAATCCTGAGTCAGGAACCCTCAGGCCAGGGAAGAGGAACCACTTGAAACCCCTTTTACCCTTTGCAAAGGGCCTGTGTTCTGGAAAAGTACTGAAGGGAGTTATGGAAATAGTGAAGTAGGCTTTGAAGCTGTTCGTAAGTAAACATTTGCCAAGTACACGCTGACCTAAGAGGCCTGCTGCTGTTGCTAATACTAAAAAAAAAAAAAAAAAAAAAAAAAAAAAAAGATGGACAAAACAATACTCCAATAAAATTTTTTTAAAAATTTAAAGTTATTTTAAATAATATATATTACAAATAAATATATTCACAAAAAAGGAGTCTGAAGCAGAGTATCATTATCTGTTCCCCCAAATTCAACACCTGAAAGTTTCCAGCCGCCACCCCAGGACTCTCACGGGCTCTTATTTAAGAGGACTTCACATCCTGGGATGCAGTGTACCTCTACACGTCCTCATCTTTCTTTCCGGGGTTCCAGCTCCACCTGGATGGAGAATGGGGGACCCATGCTCGGAGAGAAGCTGGACAAGGCCCTGCCCAGCCAAGGGGTGGCCTTTAGGTTTGCTGGCTGAAGCAGATACATCAAGAGTGCACGTGGAGGACACTAGGCCCTTTCCACCTGGCCCCAGGCGCTCTGCTGTTTAAGGAAGACACTTTCTCTACCTTGTCAATGCAGTTTTTTTTTTTTTTTTTTTTTTTTTTTT